TTGTGGTCCGGGTTCACTCCCGGGGGTAGGCAGAAAAGCCACATTTCTCCCAGATTTACGGTACCTATAATGGAATTAAGGTCGAAGGATTGCGATATCCATAGTACCGAGCCAAAGGGTTTACAACTCATGGTTTCTGGATACGTTAAAAAAAAAAAAAAAAAAAAAAACGCGTTTTGCGCATGCCGAAAAGTGTGATGATACAGGTCGACAGGTCTGACATCTACCGCTGCTAAATCCTCAATCGGACGAACAGTATTGCTAATCTGCGTGGGAGCGCGTGGTCTACCCGCTATATCGCTTTTATCGTCTGTAATGTCTCGAAATTGTCAATAGTCGCTATTATCGTCTGCTCGTTTAGTCTGCAGAAACGCTCGAAAGTGTCAATGGTCGCTTTTATCGTCTGCTACTATCGTCTGCAATGTTGCGCTCTTGAAATAGCCAAGTAATCCTCGTTTTGCCGCGATTTGTTCCTTGGCAGAAAGTCCGCCTGAGCCCTGTAAGAATATTTTATGGCCGCCATAATATTAGGACGAAGTTCGATGGAGAACCGAAAATTTAATATTGTCTGTTCAAAATCACAGTGAAGATCAAAATCTTTTCTTAAATTTCAACAAAACGAAAATAATGTCCACACATAAAACTGACTATCACCCCCCAAAAACAAAAAAAAACAAAATGATGAAGAAATTGAAAAATGTCACACACTTTGAATATCTGGGCTCTAAAATAAATTGCAATGGAGACTGTTTGACAGAAATATACTTCTCGTCCTTTTTAGGATGAAATTGTTCCTTATTTGAAACCCTACTCTAGCTCTTGCCAGAGGCAATATAGCTCGGCCATAATTATGGCCTAATTTCTGAACGCGGTTTCTGGGACCCCTCCACGGTGATCCTCATCCACATGGTGGCATATTGTGTTAGCGGGTGTTTATCGCTTGTGTGATGTCCTGGTGGGGTAGAAAGTCAGTAAGTCAGTTTGACAGAAATTAAAAGGAGGATGACCATAGCAATGCAAAGATTAAACAGCTTAAAAAGTATATGGTTAAGCACCAGCAAGGAGATCAAAATTAGAATTTTGAGAGCATGCATCTTCCCTGTAGCAACATACGGATGTGAGTCGTGGATTATCTCCAAGTCCTTAAGAAAAAGAATAGAGGCTTTTGAGTTGAAATGCTATAGAAAGATTCTCAGAATATTTTGGACGAAAAAGAGGATAAATACTGACATCTTGAAAGATCTGAACATCAAGGAAGATTGGCTAACAAACGGCATCCTGTCTCGGAAGCTGAAATATTTTGGTCACATCAAGCGCCACGATGGATTGGAAAAAAGTATAGCAAAAGGCATGGTACTAGAAAGGAGGGGCAGGGACCGACCAATACGAAGATGGATACATGATATAAGTGAGTATGAAAGTGCATTAGACGGGAGAGCTTGTGAGAGACCGAGTTTCTTTCAGGCAGACCGTGATGAGAGCGACGTTCTGCAAAGGACCTGCTATATGATGATGATGATCGGTTGTAAGTTGAGTTGAGTTTGCATGAACTTACATCACAGCACACGGGACATTCCAATAGGTACTCTGTCCCCATCTTAAGCACAGCCAACGAAAAGGCTCCGTCCCCATCTTAAGTACAGCCAACGAAAAGTTCCAACTCTGATGGTACCAGTAACAGTCTGATGTATGTCCAGCTTGTCTTTCCTGTGAGTGTAGAGCGTCGGCCAGATATCTTGACCACTCCCTGTTGCACCATTTTTTCTTCACATTGTAGCAATCTAATCGAACCTCTTAACTGTTCATTCGCTACAAAAGGGTATACAATATACAATATCTAGCTTATCATACATCAGTTTACCACCGACTGGTGGAGAACCACACGTACAGAATCTAATTACACGTGGAGTGAAAGGTTGCGCTGTTGCTCTTTCAGCATTCTAAAACATTTTGAATACATTTCTGCAGATAACAACCGACCCCATTCATCTCTGTGCTTGGCCTTCTCTTTCCAGGTGGTGACTCCAGTTGGTTGTTAAGTCTGCATGTGTATTATCACATCAGTTTTGTTAGTCTGTCTGGTGGTCTACTTCCGTCAATTCTTTTGTGCTCGCAGATTTTGCTTCACTATTACCTGATATTATCCCTATATTTAGCAACTATTATACTCACAACGGCTAGCATGAGAATGGACGTGGAATCAGTTACAGCAGCTTGTCGGTGGAAGCGGCTGGCCGTGTGGTAACAACGTCGGGCTCTCATGCTCTCACACTTTTTTCATCAGGCCAAAAAAAAAAAAAAAAATATATATATATATATATATATATATATATATATATATATATATATATATATATATATATATATATATATATATATATATATATATATATATATATATATATAGCGGCGTCCGTGGCTAAGGCGTTGCGAGTCCGACTCGTAATCCAACGTACCGTTATCGAAACCCACTGCTGGCTGCGTGGATTTTTATCGTGGTACGGGACGTCGCAGGTCGACCCAGCCTAGAATGGGTACCAGGATGGGCTGTCCTGGGAAAGCAAAGACAGCCGGCGTAATGCTGACCACATTACCCACCGAGTGCTAATGGTCTGTAAAAATATGGGCGCTCTTCCCATATGCCCGATACGCCTAACGGCGTGGAAAGGGATCTTTACTTTTTTTTTTAACTTTATATATATATATTCGCGGCACGCCTACCCTTAAAGCGGTTTGAATACTTGAGAAAATAAAAAAAAAATTAGTGGACATTTTATGTCAAGCGTATTTGAACAAATTCTTGATTGTTGCCGCGGCACACCTGGTGACGTGAGCAGCCTGGCCAGTCGGCTGGAGCATGGAGCCGGTCTTGGTCTATCCCGGATGCACCCTTTTTCTTCTTCTTCTTCTTTTTCTTCTCTCCCACCTTTTACCTCATCGAAGTGTCGGGGGGAGATGTAATGTTCGTTGATGAGCTCTGTCAAGAGCACTAATAAGACTGATGTTCATTTCTGTAAGGCTGTTCTTAATGCCATCACTCCATATTTTTCGAGGTCTTCTACTCGCTCTATATCCGTTGTAACGTGTTAGTGTGGCTCGCTGTGATGGATAGTACCAGGGCATTCTTGTTAGGTGTCCAAACCACTTTATTTGTTGTTGTTGTTGTTTTTTTTTTTTTTTTTTTTTTTTTTTTGATGATCTGTAAGTCTGACTTTATTCCTAGCATTCGTCTGATTTCATGATTTCGTATTCTGTCTTTCCTTGAAACTCCTGCAGCTCTTCTAAGGCATTTCATCTCTGTTGTCACAATTTTAGGTTCATTGGAGGATGTAAGTGTCCACGTTTGGCATTGATAGCATAGTGTTGGCCAAAAAATAGTTTTGATAAGATTCACTTTAGTACTCTGAGGTATCTGCTTGTGTGTCAACAGGGGAGATAGTTGACCCATTACTTGATTAGCTTTGGCACATCCGGAGCTAATTTCTCTGTCCAGTTTTCCGTCAGATGTAAAAATTGCTCCCAAATACCTAAATTCCTCTGTTCGCCTCAGGGTGTTGTTTTTTTATTTTCTACAGATTGATAATCTATTTATGCTTCCGCTCTGCTCACTCACCTCCAACGGGCTTTGAAAACATCTCGATTGACATACGTCAGTTTACTACCACTCGGTGCAGAACCACCCAATATATCCGACTTTTCGTTTTTAAACACACTTGAATCCCCTAGATATAACATTCAAAGGACGCCAACTGTGAAGCGATGCTTCCAGTCTGCACGGAACCTTTCTGTCTGCACCTTTCAGTTTGTTATAGGCACAACACATGTAGGCAGCCGGTTAACGAGCCAACAGAAGGGCACAGTGACTTTTCCACTTCCATTCTTAAGCTAGCCAATTATCAAGAAAAAAATTGATTAACTAGTCTATGATACTGATATTAATGTTAGGGGAACCACAGTTGCGATAATTTGTCTTTTAATTCTTGTTATTACCGATTTTATTTTTAAAAAATAATAATAATCAAGTGATAGTTATCAACTGTCATTAACTTTTAAGTAATTTTATGAAGTAGGTATCTGAGACCTATGGTTTTCAAACGCAGTTCATAATTCCCCAATACTCGTTTCGATTACCTGGGTGGCAGATCAACAGGACCTGCAGGTTTCCCACTGTAAGACTAAAGTCTACTGGTGACGTAACAACAGGACAAGGTCAGACGCCCGTTGAACCTCCGAGGAAGTTATGATTAGAGCACATTTAACGGCCACACCAGCCTTGGGCAACCCGCAGGCCTGTCATGAGTAAGGATTCCCTCTTTGCCTTTGTTTCCACAATGGTATCTTGAGTTCAATCAATCAATAATTATGTTCTTTACAGAAAGTCGTTCTGTTCACGGTACGCTTAATAGTCGTTGACTCCCTAGCCGACTCCCAACCATGTATGATACCATAGCCAATGCATCTTCAGTTTACTACATCCAAGTTCGCGGAGGTCACCCTCTGCCTCATTTTCCAGAAACTGCACCCGCTACCATTGTTCTCTCCAGACCACCATGGCGCTTAACATGTCCAAAGTACTTCAGCTTTCGGCAAGGGCTACTGTTTACCGGCCAGTTGTCTTCGATATACGGTTAGGTTAGTTGCGTATCCTTTACAGGACGTTGTAGAAACAACCCCAACAGCCCCTGGTTGTTGTGTGGTTTTTCTAATCAAATTTACGTCCAGTAGTTTGTAATTGCTTTCTGGACAGTCAGCCTTCTTGATACCACTGTCGAAACCAACGCAATTCGCATAGCCCGCAGCTGGGATCGAACCCAGCATCCCGGCATTACGAAGCCTTCGCATCGACTTAGCCACAGAGCCGACTTCGATATACGGTATACCCTTTATAATCAAAACTAGTATTTATGGTATAGAAAAAGCATCTATTCACTTTATAATGCAGACGTTTTTGATTCTTAAAATTTTAGGAACTAATGAAACCGTCACTTTAAAAGGATACAATGAAGAAGAGTTCCCTACAAATTCAGCAGCTGTTCGAAGACGACTCATCAACAAAAACTACGAATGCAGCGCAGAGAAAGAAATCGGAAAGTTCTGGTAAGATCAAACAGTCCGCAAACTTGGTCAATAAGTCCGTAGGGACCGCAAACAAACATTCATCTCAGACAGCAACAGCATCTCACGAAAAGAAATCCAGGGGCAGGCACGTGCAACAGGATCGTACAGTGATGACGCCAAAGACAACGATCACTAAATACGGGTATGTTTTAGTTCTTCTTCTTTTGTCAAAATCTGCTTGTGCCGCTAGGCGTCGCAGTCTATCAGATGATCGGCAACCGAGTCAGGGCGCGCTCAGTCGCTTCATATGCCGTGATGTTATGAAGTCTCAAGTTGTCCGTGACTCCTTAATCCATCTTCTTCTTGGTCTTACCCTGCCTCTTGGTGTTTCGATTTTCATGTTGTATGCTCTTGATGCTGGCATCGTTGGTTCCATTCTCATTAGGTGACCAAACCATTTCATTCTTTGCTTCTCAATAAATTTAACGATGGGTATGGTTCCAATAGTTCTTGTAATCACATCGTTTCTTACTCGATTTCTTCTGGTTTTATTCGCAGCCATTCTCAAACATCTCATTTCACAGGTTGTTAGTCTTCTCTCGTGTTCTTTTGTTAATGTCCAAGTCTGACATTGATAACCTAATGTCGGTATAAAGATTGTATTTATAATTTGTCTTTTTATCTCAGCTGGGACAGCAGGGTGTTTTAAAATTGGGGCAAGCTGGTATGCGACATTGTTGGCTTGTTGGATTCTTGCTTCGATCTCTCTGTCTATTTTACCATTGAATGTAAAGGTACTTCCCAAGTATTTAAATTCTTGCACTTGTTTTAGGCTGTGATCTAGAATCTTTATGTCGATGGTCTGTTGCTCTCTACTTATGCTCATGGCTTCTGTCTTTTCAGTATTGATCTTCATATGATGCTTGAGGCAACTGTCGTGTAGTAGGTTTATGTGGTCTTGCAGCTGTTTACTATCACTGAAATATGCCTTGATCGTCGGCAAAGAGCAGCTCATTGAAGTCCTCCTGTTTATCGACATCTGTTGGTGTTATGTCTATTTTATTAATATTGTCCATAAATATTATGAAAAGTAAAGGTGATAATACACAACCTTGTCTTACTCCTGATGTTACTGGGAACCAGTCTGTGATGCCAGCTCTTGTTCTAACGGCGCTTTCACTTTGTCTATAAATAGCCCTAACACAATCTAAAATTGTTCCATTTATACCGTAGTTTTCAAGAACTTTCCATAATAAATTTATGTTTACTCTATCGAAAGCTTTTTCTTGATCTATGAAAGCGATATTCATTTGATGTCTGTGTTCTATTGTCTTTTCGCTAACTTGTCTTAAAGCAAAAATAGCGTCAGTACACCCTCTTCCTTTCCTAAATCCGACCTGTGATGGGCTCAGGATCGGTTCTACAACGGATCTAATTCGTTGTTCCAGAATTTTGGCAAACATTTTTCCTACGTGGCTTAGAAGGAAGATGCCTCTGTAATTGTTACAATCTTGCTTATTGCCTTTTCTTTTCCAAATTGGGACTATAAGGGCTCTTTGCCAGTCTATTGGTACAGTTCTTTCATTCCAGGCTTTCCTAAATATGTGGAGTAGCCAGGTGACTCCAATTTCTCCACAAGCCTGTATTGCCTCGGCTGATATTCCATCAACACCTGATGCCTTATTTTTGGGATTGCATCTGATTTCTTCTCTGACTTCTTGTTTGATTATTGTAGGCTGTTCCTCGTTTGTACATCTGGGTGTGAATGGTACTGTTTCCTCATTTCCTGTTACATTCAGAAGAGTCTGAAAATATTCTTTCCACCTTTCTCTGATCTTGCCCTCCTCATGTATGGGTTTGCCTTGACTATCATTGACATATTCAGATGACTGGAATGGTTCATCTCTAGTTCTCATTTTTGCAATGGTTTTGTAAAACTGTCTACTAGATTTAGCACAGATTTTGGTAAGATTTTCCCCATACATGATCCAGGATGTTTCCTTGGATTGTTTAATTTTTCTTGCAGATTGTCGCCTGGTAATTCTGTACTTGATATAATCGTCATCTGAGCGGGATCTTAACCATTTCTTGTATTGCTCCTTTTTACATTTCACTGCTTGTTTTACGTTATCATTCCACCAAGCTGTTTTTTTCCTGAACGTTCCTCCTGTGTATCTAATACCACAGAGTGTTGTTAGGCAGTTCAGAAGAGTGTTCTTAAATTTTTGCCACGCAGCTTCCATGTTGTCACTTGATGTTAATAGCTCAGCCATCTTCGCCGTCATTTCTGCCTGTACTTCTGCTTGGTTGTCTAGATTGCTTAGGTGTCTTATGTCAATCATTGAGGTACGTACTGATGTTTTTGGTTTTTTGTTAATTGTTGCTTCGCTTAGATATACGATCAGCGGTCGATGGTCTGTATTTAAAGAGATGCTAGGAATTACTCTTGCGTCTTTTTACTAAGCTTCATGTTTTAGTTAAAGTAACAATATTGAGATCGTGACGTGCATCTTTTCCAAGGCAACTTGTTGATGTATCATGGACTCGTACTCAATCACTGAGAAAATAAGTTTTGAAATGAAATGCTACTCTTTTTCTCCTCAAAGGGTTACAAATTGGGCACACAGGCTCGTCTTTCATTCGGCCCTTCCAAACACCCGTCTTTCACACTGCAGCTGTATTTTATCAGAAAGTTTGTTATGTTTATATGATAAAATGCATATTATAAATATCAAAAATGAAAAAAAAAAAGAAAAAAAGAAGAAAAAACACAAAAGCATAGGTGGTAAAATGCATGCACACACTACCGCACGCACACACACACACACCCACCAACTCACTTAAACACACACACATACCTTCACACACACATAAACACACCCCCTTTCACCCACTTACACACCTATATACCCACATAGACACGCACATTCGACAAACATACAAACATACAGATATACACACGCACATACAGACACCCCCATAGAAACAAATGCAAAAACACATACACACAGACAGACATACGCGTACAGACCCAATGCCACACAGACACACACATGCGACACACACACACAAACCGGCATACACACACACACGCAGACTCACACACGCGGACTCACACAGGCACATATGCACAAACACACACAGACACAAACACACACAGATACACGCACACAGACACGCTCGAAGACACGCACACGCACACACACACACAATCGAAAGCATACAGGGCTGGGAGAGTGGTGGTGGAATAATTAGACCATCATCCAGTTTATCTTCTTTTTCTTCTGCGTTCATCTGAAGTCGTAAATGAGTTGTGCCCGATTACAACATGGCTGCGATATTTGTTCTTTTCAGCTGACACATCCACTTCTGCAGGCATTTGTTGTCTGGGTTAACCTTCCAGTTTATAATCTCTGACTATTGTTGGATTTTTAATATGCACAGTGTATGTTTGTCGCTTTCGTTTGGAAAGGCTATGCGTCCAGTCTCACTATAAAAAAGACCAGAGAGGCGTGCGATATTGTTAGAAAATTCCCAGCAGAAGTCGAATACAACGGTGAGAAATGGAAATGTCTACCATTCTCATTGCATCGTTAAATAGCATATGTGAAAGACATACACCTCATGCCTCTATGTGTAGGACATACACCTCATGCCTCTATGTGAAGGATTTACACTTCATGCCTCTATGTGAAGGATTTACACTTCATGCCTCTATGTGTAGGACATACACCTCATGCCTCTATGTGTAGGACATACACCTCATGCGTCTATGTGAAGGATTTACACCTCATGCCTCTATGTGTAGGACATACACCTCATGCCTCTATGTGAAGGATTTACACTTCATGCCTCTATGTGAGGGATTTACACTTCATGCCTCTATGTGAAGGTTTTACACTTTACGCCTTTATGTGAAGGACATACACTTGACGCCTCTATGTGAAGGACATACATTGCACGCCTCTATGTGAAGAACATACACTTTACGCCTTTATGTGAAGGTTTTACACTTTACGCCTTTATGTGAAGGACATGCACTTTACGCCTCTATGTGAAGAACATACACTTCATGCATCTACTGCAGAATACGGCATGGTTTTATGCTTAGATTTTGCTCTATGCGAAGTTGAATACATCAACTAGTATGTCAGTTAACTATTCTGTGAGTTAACTGATCTATGATTTGCAGATTTTACAGGCAAATAACTATTCAGTAAATTAACTAATATTTGAGTTAATAATTCTATGCATTAATTATTAGACGAAATAATTATTGTTGACTATTTCACGAAAACACTATAAGACAAGTTAATTATTTTAGGGTTATCTATTCTATGATTTAGTCGCTAATCGAAGTTCCAGATTTAGTCACAAACAGGTCATCATATAACGGTTCCTTTCCTTAGCCAGTGGAAGTCACTAAGAATGGCCGTCACTGTTCATTTGAACAACTACTGATTAAAATATCAGTCCCAGTAAGATTAGGTTCGCACAGGCAAAGTAAATTCTTAAGGCAGCTGTGAGATGTGCCAACACTAGCAGCTTTCTACAAGAACTGCAGCTCACTTTGATGCTGTCACAAAAGCTGACATTTGCACACTCCATTCTGAACATAATCGGCCGCACGCTATTTTTTTGCCGCTCACAACACAGAACTGCACACTGCACAAGATTTTTAAAAAAGTTCACGTGAAACCTGCAACTCACAGAGTCGTACCAGACACTCGACTGAGTAGCTAGTAGGGCTGTACCGATTAGTGATTTTCACTATTCGGCCGAATACGAATAGCTGGACCAACTATTCGGCCGAATACGAATACGAATAGTGAATCATCATCATCAGGTGCTTTGCCGACATGTATGGGTGATTATGCCCTGCCACAATCTGCGATTTCCTGCAGCATGTATTAGTTTGTGTGCTGACACAACTCCATGCCATGCAACAAGACTGTCAAGAATCTTCTCTCGTTGTCTTCCTCTATCCCTCCTTCCACATATCTTTCCAGTGGTCACCACATGTTCCATTTTCCCTCATCGTATAACATGGCCGAAAAATGATGACTGCCTCCTTCTGATGTCTGTTTCTTCTTTCTTCTTCTACGTTCGACCTCAGTCATGCTGAACATTAAGTCCCGTCTGGGTCAAAAATAGGGTTGTGCGTTTAAGATCGCCACCGGTCCCACATAGCTTCTCTCGCAATGTGGATCCCCTGGGCCAGATCCACAGTCTTTGCTGGGAGAGGTAAGGGCAGTACTGCAGTATGTGCTCAGGGGTCTGTTTTTCTGCTCCACAGTCACAGGCAGCAGGTTATTTTGTGCCTATTCTGTACAGGTGTGCTCGAAGACCACAGTGTCCAGTCCGATGTCTGTGAGTAGTTGTCTTCGGGCTCCCGCCTCTTTCAAAACAACTTGGTTGCTTTTTTTTTTTTTTTTGGCTGTCCAAGGTATTTTAAGCATTGTTTTGTAAAACCACATCTCTGAGGCTTCAAAATATTCACAGCCATATGTTAAATCTGGATGTATGTAACAAGCAAAAAAGCATTAGCTCCCCCTCCCCCCCCCCCCCCCCCCCAAAAAAAAAAAAACACACACACATACAATCGTTCCATGTTGTCAGCATTAAGGCAGCTTCTTGTCTCACTGAAGGTATTTCCAGCTGTACTAAACAGACGTTCACTTCGTACGCTCGTAGGTGGTGCACAAAGTAACGCTTGACAATATGAACCAAGGTGGGAAATCTTGATATGTTCATTTTCCACCAGTCAGAAACGGGTGTAAGGTAACTACTATTCGTATTCGGCCGGACCGCAACTATTCGGCCGAATACCGAATAGTTAATATGTCCACTATTCGGCCCCGAAGCGAATACGAAGCGAATATTCGGTACAGCCCTAGTAGCTAGACAACAGAATCTTTGGACTGCCAAGTTAAAAATTGGAAAATTGCATCCGAAAACCGGGACGAAGCGGAAATATTTTATAAGTGAACTATTCTATAAGTTTAATACTGAGCTGATTATTAAATCCATAGGTCTAGAAAGATCACGAATGTAAAGAGAATTACCGCAAGACATAAAAAAGAGATAATCGAAATATTTTGGTCAGACATAAGACTATTGGAGGGAAAGGTCGAGGGCAATAGAGCAAGAGGTAGACATCGATACAAGTAGGAGGACAAAATCAAGAGAAGGACAAACAGCAGTCTAAGATAGTCTACAATCAAGACAAGAGACAGCAAATATTGGCGATCAATTGCTGCTAACCTTCTTCATGGAGACAGTTGATTGAGTTGAATATTCTATATATTAACTATTTCAATATTTATTCCATTAACTGTTTTACGCCTCAGCTCTGCCCAAATACCAGTTTTATAAGTTATTTTCGCTGTTGGCTATTCTATGCAGTGCCTACTTTATTTTGGCTAACATTTGTAAATGTGTACCTGAACTTTAAAAAAAAAAAGTAAATAAAAGGTTTTTTTTAATGCAAACTCTGCAGGGAAACCTTATCTGTCTATGAGCTCGACGAAATCAAACTCTACCCTAAAATCTACTGTTTCGGCCAGCACGCCAATAAAATCGGCGCAAAAGGACAAAGCTCCAGCAGCAAGAACAACTACGACTACGACGACAGTGAACATTTCTACAAAGTCATCCCAAATGACCACATTGGCTACAGATACGAAATAGCAGACAGACCGCTGTTAGGACAGGGCACGTTTGGACAGGTTTGATGCATGGTGTCTTCTTTCTCTTTCCCTTTCCTTTCTCCAGTTACATCATCGAAGTGCTATAAGCTCTCTCAAATGCTTTCTGCTGGTAAACAGTGGTTTCGAATCTTTTTAGATGCCCGACCCCCTAAATATATAGCACCCCTCCCCCTACCCCATCCCTTGTTCCACGACTTTTAAAAAAAAATGTTACTTAAGAGGGGAAAAAAAAGCACTATTAACAAGAACCGGGTTATGCTATTAATTCAATTTTTAACGGCAGACGTACAAACTGCTCATTGGGGAAAAAAAGTATGTTTTATAAATAGTTACAAACAAACAATTTTTCATAATTAAACTAAAATAATTTGTAGTATAATAAATTATTACAAATACAGATGAAATTTCGAAATTGCTTAATTTTTCCTTAAAACTTTTTTTGCTCGCCTCAGGCTAAAAAAAAATTCTTCTAGTTACTCTTCAAAAATCTAAGGCTATTCTTGATGCTGTCGTTTCATTGTCTGCGTGATCTCACCCTTGATCGGAGTCCATGATATTTCTTCAGTGTGGTTCTCTGTGGCAGTTGGTACCAGGGCATTCTAGATGTATGGCAAACCATCTTATACTTCCTTTAGTTTCAACTTCCCCTCACTTCCACTCCCCATTTTGTTCTAGCCCCACATATTTAATATCCATATTTTGTCGAGGTTTGTGTGTGTGTGTGTGTGTGTGTGTGTGTGTGTGTGTGTGTGTGTGTGGTGAACTAGGTTTCCAGGCACATATATTCACTAAAGTATTCGGTTTCTAATTAATATCCTACCCCCAGATGACATCACAGGACAGTCCAACATTTTAGAGGGTGGTAAGACTGGGTCTTCAGGCTTTCTTATACTTTTAACTACCAAAACCACTCGGAACTGGCCCTAAGCCCAACCCATTTACGTCCCACGAGAGAGTGCAGCCTAGGTCCCACGACTGCATGCAGCCTATCTACCAGCCCTGAAATATTAGACTGTGCCGTGACCTGTGGATTTCTCCTGTTTGGGGAAGGATATTAATAAAGCACCAAGTATTCTACAGCCCCACTGTGAAGACATTTCAATATCCTATCCTATCCTATCAACTGGTGTGTTGGTCATGGTGACAGTTATGATCCGCTCAAAATTGGTGGCCACCCTATTCCGGAACTCCGCTACGCAGATGACACAGTCCTCTCACAGTGTAAAGGGTATAGAAAATGTAATATCGGCTGTCCAAAAGCACAGTGAAGATCAAAATCTGCTCTTGAATTTAAAGAAAACGAAAATGATGTATGCAGGCTGTCACCCAAAACACAGTAATAAATGACGAAGAAATTGAAAATGTCACAAACTTTGAATTTCTAGGCTCTATAATAAATAACAATGGAGACTGTTCAATAGAAATTAAAAGGAGGATGGCCATAGCAATGCGGAGATTGAACAGCCTTAAAAGTCTATGGTTAAGCACCAGCAAGGAGATCAAAATTAGAATTTTGAGAGCATGCATCTTCCCTGTGGCTACATACGGATGTGAGTCGTGGACTATCTCTCAGTCTTTAAGAAAGAGAATAGGGGCTTTTGAGCTGAAATGCTATAGAAAGATTCTCAGAATATGTTGGACAAAGAAAAAGAGAAATATTGACATCTTAAAAGATCTGAACATCAAGGTAGATTGGCTAATAAACAGCATCCTTTCAAGAAAGCTGAAATATTTTGGTCATATCAAGCGATCTGCGGATTAGAAAAAAATTATAGCAGAAGGCGTAGTACCAGGAAGGAGGGGCAGGGGCCAACCAACACGAAGATAGGCACAGGATATAAGTGACTCCTTGAGTGTGAAAGTGCATGAGGCAGGAGAACTGGTGAGAGACCGAGTTTCTTTCAGGCAGACTGTGATGAGAGCGACGTTCTGCAAAAGACCTGCTACATGATGAATGTTGGTCATGGTTGGAGCCAGAATGGCAATACAAAAGGATGTCTTATATTGTGCCTTTGTTGTGTTCTTTTTAAACGTCGACCATTTATTACCACTGTAGGAATGTATTTTGAAGAGTACTGTGGTATATAACACATCCTCCAAGGGGTTAATTGCATCCTCATCATCAACATTTACAATGTCATCATCATCTCAACCATCCCGTTGAGCTGTTTATGCGTCACATTGGACTGGCAGTCGATTCCTCTGTACTTCTGTACTCCCAATACACCTGAAGGTGTGGAAAGAGGTCCTTCGCTGTTTGTGTGTGTGTGTGTGTGTGTGTGTGTGTGTGTGTGTGTGTGTGTGTGTGTGTTTCACCATAATACTAAAATACACAAACACATAAGCGATTAGATGAAATAAATGAAAATCTGACCTCTTTTTATCTTAGAGAAGAGGCGAGTGCCCACCAGGATAGTGCTGAGAGGACGGGAGAAGAAGAGATCATAGGTTTAGTTTAGTCGACGGATCACATCATGGCACACCGGTGTAAGCCATAATTGCTCCGTTATACTTCTAACTCAAGCACCCGCGAGGATCCTGAAATACTTTGGGTGGATTTTAAACTCCAAATTTTGTCCTGGTAGCGCCGCTAGGCTGCTCGATATTTTACGTGCGCAGCAATACACACGGGCATCCAAACTTACTATCCAGAGAGCAGGGGAAATTACTAGAAGTTCAACTGACAAAAATCCTATCCTTCACCGGGCTTTGAATCCGGGACCTCCAGCCCTCGAGGCGGATGCCATACTTCGAGACCACGCAGACCCCCGGAGAGAATACTATTTGGAAGGAGACCACTTCCCACTAAACTTCTTAAATCTGAAATTCTAGTGTTTTTTCCTTGTTTTGTATCCCCCCCCCCTCATTTCTCTCTCTCTCTCTCTCTCTCTCTCTCTCTCTCTCTCTCTCTGTCTCTCTCTCTCTCTCTTTCCTGCATAAACCAAGTTGATGCTCAGCTGGTGTGACTTTTGCTAAAATATGCCCGGTCATTCCAGATAATGCTATCACGACTTGTATGCGCTTGACTAGGCTGGTACTCCTCTGCAAAGTTTAAAACATCCATCCAATTGGCAAACATTTTCTTGAATAATGAAGTTTGGACTTCATCTGTTTCCTTATTTAAACCTGAAGAAAGTGCAACCATCTTAGTCTTGTGCTCCTCCGCCTCTAGTTGCTGAAGTTCCTCAATGGTCAGCTCTTCCCTGTGTCACTCCACTAACTTGTGTCTTGACTCAGTTTGACTCATACCAGTTCCAAACAAAGGTCGAATATGAAGCAAAATGTTTCGCGTCTAAACAGGGCTAAACAAGCTGAATTTATTATAAAGCATACATATGCCAAGGTACCACTGTTTATATAAACAAGTAAAAAACGGGATTATGTTCAAACTATGAAGACTATGGTGTTTATGGCTGTAGTCCCACTCACACACAAGTACATACTCGTACACACATGAATTGCACATTTTGCAAACTAAAATACAGTTGCTATGTATCGCAGGTAATTAAAGCATACGACATGAAAGAAAGACAGTTTGTGGCTCTGAAGCTTGTAAGAAACGAGAAAGATTATTTGAAGCAGTCTCGGGAAGAGCTCAGGATACTCCACGTGTTAAAGAAATACGACATTGACGGGACGTTCAACATTGTCACCGTTAAGGAATTCTTTATGTAAGTACCCCCAGGAAACGTGTTTCTTTTTTATTTTTTTCAATCTTTTGACAGCGAGGGCACGTTTTACTTTTGTGTGTGTGTGTGTGTGTGTGTGTGTGTGTGTGTGTAGCCTATTGAATTCCCCATCGGTGGACAGATGTGCTGAACCACTTGCATCGGTGCACTAGGAACCACAGCTCAAGACCTATCTCAATTATCCTAGAAACAGGTTCTAAAAACGAGAATCATCATCAGTACCAAGTGCCCTGCCAGGTTGCGTGGGCGTTCATGCATCTCCACAGATCTCGATCTTTGGTGTTTTTGAACAATTTCGCTGATGATATTCCTCTATGCCACTGTCTTAAGACATCCACTTTCATTTCACTTGATCTGCCTCTTCTACTAGGGATCTTTCCAGTCGTCCAGATATTTTCCTTTACTCCTTTTCTCATCACATGACCAAAGAACGATGTTTGTCTCCTTTTCATTTTTATATATAATGTTTTACTTTCATTAGCCATTTCGAGGCAATCATTGTTAGTTAATTTCACAGTCCTGGGAATTCGCAAAAGCGAGAAGGCATGAATAATATTGTTCTGGACATGGAAGCTTACCATAAACAACAAATCAAGAGAGATTTTTTAAAGAACTGAAGGCTATAACATGAGGGCATAACACAGCATAGAAGGAAACAGGATAAATAATACTGAGGAAATATATAACAGATGGAAGGAATACTTTGCCGAACTGTTAAATTGTGAAACTCCACAAAATACTTATCCACAGGAAGAGATACTAACATGTGAACCAAATACTGAAGAGCCTGATTTTGAAAAAAGTATTGTATGTAAAAATGTAGAGAATACAACATAGATCTTTATGCTTGTTTTATTGACACAAGACATTTGACTGTGTCCAGCATTATAAATTGTGGAGTAATATGAGAAGTATCGAGTTTCCAGCGCATTTAGTGCAGTTAATTGAACAACAAACAGTCATCAGAGCAGATGGTGAAACATCGGATTGGTTGGAGATTTTAAAAAAAAATAGGGGGGCGGGGGTGCATTCTCTCACCATGCCTATTCAATATATATGCAGAAAACCACCGCTTAAGCTCTACATTGATAAATTACCTATTGTTAATGTAACGGAACACTGGCAGGTAAGGATCAGTGTATCAATCAGTCAAATAATTTAACTGTAACCACTTTCAGGTAAGGGTAAGAAAACACTGCTGCCTTCTGCCCTGATCAGTTTAGCCATATTTTGATTTAAAATACGAATTACCGAATTAATTACCTCCCTAAATTTTCAGGTTTCGCAACCACATGGTCATGTCATTTGAACTGCTGGGAGTAAATCTGTATCAGGCGCTCAAACTGAACCTGTTTCGTGGACTGCCAATGCCAAAGGTACGGGCAGTTGCCAGGGCAATACTCAAGAGTCTTGAGCTCTTATTCAAGCTGCGGATAGTACATTGTGACGTGAAACCAGAAAATATATTGTTTCGGAAAAACGGTGATTACAGTTCTGTCAAGGTAGGCGATCTCAATTTTTTCTTGCGCTGTTTGTTACTCCCATGCCTCGATTACTCTCTACAGATTGGCTAGTCACCATTTGGAGCGTTGCAAAAAGCACGAACTGCTTAGCTCTAGCGACGACGTCATGTATCTCTCAAACAGATTCTCTGTCAAAGAGAATACTGTTCGTCGGAACTGAACTCACAACCTTTAAATGTCGATGCAAACGGCTAAATCCCTTTCACACAGAGCCCATTTGGTAAACCAACTGATAAAGATAGACGTGGTTGGTCAGAGACAAGCGCAGCTCGAAAACTGATTAGATAAATAGACATAGACTGTCATAAGGAGAAATAGACTCCAGAATTTAGTGACTGGCTAAATTTATAAAAACTGGGCAACAGGGAGGCAAAGATTTAAATTTAAGGAATCTTCTTCTTTACGTCCTCTTTTACCGCTTCGACCATAGACAGATCGTGGTGCTGTAGAGTTTCTCTGATGTTATCTTCCCAACCTGTTCTTGGTCTGCCTCTTGCTCTACGTCCCTTTCCTCTTTTGATACATGCCCTGTATGGTATAGCATCAGAAGGCATTTTCTCCAAATTGACAAACCATTTAGTTTGAAGTCTTTGTAAAATTTACTATCTTCAGTAAATGTTGTTCCAAGATATTTAATAAACTCAGATGCCTGTTTAATATATGTGTGCTCAAATGCTAAGTTTAAATCCTGCTTCTTTCTTCCTATTGGCATTTATTCTATCTCTTCGATGTTGATTCTCATATTTTTTAAATTCATATTCTTCATTCATTGATGAGAGTAGCTGTTGAAATTTCATAGCTGTATCTGCAACCAAGGCCTGGTCATTAGCAAATAGTAATTCGTGCTTGTTACTATTATTCTCGTTTCTTGGCCTGGCATCCTTGCTTATGCTGTCGATGTAGGCGATAAACAGGAGTGGTGATAAGACAGATCCCTGTCTTACTCCAGATGTTAATCTGAATGGTTTAGATGCTCCCTGGAATGCTTATATCTGGAATGCGTGGCCATATAGATTGGGCTAGACAAGAGCACTGATCGCATGGCGATGATTAAACTATTAAATAATTTATCAGTAATAAATGACATTTATTACATTTATGTAAGATGAAATTACTTACTTATAAAAAAAATACTTTGATTTATTACTTTTTTTTCGTTGTCAAATTCTTATTTTGATAAAAATACGTGGTTTTATATTTTTTTTCCCCAGTTGACAATGCAATTTTTCGATAAAGGATTTTTTTAAGAGTAGCATTTTTTTTAAACGTTGTGGTTTTTTCGGGGGGTTGGGGGGGGGGGGTTGGGGGGGCAAATGGTACGTTATTTTATGGTTGATAGCTGGGTTGCGATATCTTCCTTTTTCGACCCACACATTTAATTTCAACAAATCCCTAATTAATCACCTTTTACGACAATCTTGTCATCATACACGGGGTCTAGTTTCTCCATCGCCCCCTCCCCTACCCACCCAGCTCCTCTCTAACTAACTGTGGCCCTGAAACACACACAAGGATCTCCATAATTATTAATTTTAAGTTGAGTGACTGCAAGAAAACGACAAGTGTGCAGAAAATGTTGCTAATTTGCTGCAGTTGAAATTTTATTTGACAGCCAAACAATATGTAATCTAAATGACTTAAAAGAGGCTACGGCACAAGAATAAAGGTAAGAAAAAACAGCAAGGATTTGTTTACAACAATGTAAATAAATATAGACTGGATAATTTAACGATTGCAACATACCGGCGACAACAATTAAAGAAGCTACGTGGCCGTGTTTTGTCATTGACGGAAATGTGCCAGAAGTTGAACTATGGAGAAATGAGAGATCATGGTATGGTTGTATTTTATGGGTAATCTAAAGCTTTATCATGAGTTTATACAGATATTATGAATTTTTCTGGTTTTACGGAATCCTATGCGAGAGTTTATCAACACACAACTACCTACATTATAAACAATATAACTGTGCTACGTGGCTAAATGGGTGAACGGAATTTCTTACATTTTTACCTGATTAGTCTTGTCACTGAAATGTTAATCCTACAGAATGCATATCTGTCCCCATCTGTATAAGACTGCAGGTTACATTCTGTTGGCGTAGTCGTTACCCACATGTGTAAGTTCTTCGTGGGAAAGACATTGGCTCCAATTGGTAAAAACAGTTTACCTTTATATTATTAAGTGGCTCTTTGTAAAGGACTCTTTGTTCACGCCTCTAGGCGTATTGGGTATATAGTGCTAGACCTAAATTTTATAGTCCAATTGGCACTCGGTGGGTGATGTGGTCAGCATCACGCCGGCGTTTGTTCTGTACCCACACATGACTGTTCTCTGAAAACTAGTAGACTTTGGCTCGAGATGTTACGAACAGTTCAACTTTCTCATGCATGTTTGTTTTTTTTTTTTGTTTGTTTAACAGCCTGTAGACTTTGACTCGAGATGTAACTTACAGTTTAACCTACCCAAGCGTGTTTGTTCTTTGTAAAACAGCTTGTAGATTTTGGCTCTAGTTGCTACGAACAGAGTCAGATCTATCGTTACATTCAGTCTCGCTACTACCGGGCACCGGAAGTCATCCTTGGATTTAGGTATGGCCCTGCCATTGATATGTGGAGTCTGGGCTGTGTCCTTGGTGAGCTTGCGAAAGGAACTCCGATCTTTACGGTAAATTTTTATTTGTTACAGTTCCTCATTTCCTTAGTTTTCTATGTGGCTTATACATTTGTGTTATGGTATTACAGTGCAGTCATCGACGTGTATCAGGACTTGATTCCTACGGTGGGTAGTTAGAAATAAGCCTGTTTTCATTACTTTGACACAGTGGTGCAATAGCTGTATCGGGTAAGAGATTACGGCCTCACCATATATTATCCCATAGTTAGCAGTAGATATATTGCAGCCGACGTGCATTGCCGAGCGACGCAAATTTTTTTTGTTTCTTTGGGATGCTACCCGCTACCCCATTGTGTTTTTATACATCTGATTCAGTGATCTGTTGTTTTAATGAAGCACGGTCAAGATTTTTCCGTCCGACAGACAGTGGCTGTTGCATTTTCCTAGACTGAAAGGATATAATTTTGTCGCCAAGCTACTGAGTTGAGTGTTTGACGTGACACTGTGAGTTGCGGGTTTCATTCGAAATGTTTTTCGACTGTGATCTACGCGATGTTATGAACGGTAAATTCAGAACATGGCGAATGGCAGTGGCCTGTTGCTACAGAATTGCTGGTGCCTTATATGATTAAAATAAATTTCGTGTGCAACTACTGATCTGTTTGTAACTGCTGCTTTTGTTAATGATGATCTGCATTTCTAATACGGACTTTTCGTGCTAGCAATTCAAATGGCTGCCTTATGCTTTTAATGCGTGTGTTACTAGTAAAATTGATATGCTGAGAATGCCATCTGTGTCAATTTTGCCACAGGGGACAGTGATGGACACTGTTTTTTCCTTTGCATAGAAGAGGAGCCACTATCGGGTGAACCGTTTACTTTGAAAGTGAAACTAAGATGCCAGATAGTTAATTAAATTATTTGATTAAACGAAGTAGTATGACGTAATTTAAACAATTTATATTCCTCGTATTAACCCGACCGATGCCTGACCAGCAACCGAGGGAAATGGATTTCGGTGTGATTTATACAACTTGATGAATTTAACATCAGTGTCTCCAGTCACAGAATTGCAATAATTGTCAACTGTTAATAATAATTTCAAAAACTGAAGCCATCATAAAAGTATTCTTCTTCTTCTTTCGTTCGCTTGAAATAGATTATTTATATAAGCAATTTTGTCTCTAGTATAAACAATTCACTGTCTTTTGTAATTCACTCAGCGACCCGTAAAGTTTGACTTGCACCGATGTTTCTCTTGGCCAAAAATTTTACCTTGATATGTTGTATTTGGGACAGTCTTGAGAGACATTTTCTGTTGTCTCAGTTGTACTGAATACAACTCTAAAAACTAATCTAGCGGGTCCAAACGAAGCTTTCTCAAGACTTGTTTGTATGATTGGGTAATACGAGTAGCTGTAATTCCTGACTGGCTGCTTGGCATATGCAGGCAGATATCAGTGGTAGGTATTATTACATCTTGCTGGCCTTTCAAAAACTAGTGATACTGTGGCGTCTAATCTGTCAGCTTGAAATTCGTTTAATTTAGAGTGCGAATTGCACGTCAGATCTGCATTCTATTAGATCTAGTCGCGAGATGTGAATCAGCGTCATTGCACACGGTTATAAACCATAAGTGCTGTGCCACCAGTACGGACAGCTGATAAAACTGTCCGCCTGTGTCGCCGTTCGCACGTAACTCTTAGCTACAGCGACGTTCCTCCATTTACCCCAGAGTGTCAACTCTGGTACCCATTTCCTAGAGGCTGGGTGAACTGCGGGAACCACCCGGTTTCGAACACCGACCGTGGCTGCAGCGAGTCGCAGCTGGATTTAAAATCGAGCTTCTTATCGACTGCGCTAACGCGGCCCTGATTATTCTATTAGAGCATTACCATATGCTTTATAGAAATTATATGCAAGCAATGCTTTTTCGAGAGAACCGCTTATAAAGAGAAAATAACTATAATGAGAGAATCGCTTATGATGAGAGAATCCTTTTTAATGAGAGAATCCCTTATAATGAGATAATCGCTTATGATGAGAGAATCCCTTATCGTAATCATAACCATAGAAACCAAGCAAAAATGTCAAGTTTTGTCCTCTTTCAGCTGCCCGATGGCCTGCTTTTTTGAAGACGGTTCCTTTGCTATCTGATTTGAATTTGTTTCTGTGTGGCGATTATTTACGCCTAAGCTAGATTTTTTGCTGGTACATAATGTCTGCGCGGTCAGACTTGGCAGGCGGTTTTTGGGAGTGGATCTGGCAGCCCTGAAAAGGATTGCCACTTTTGCCTGGGGCAGCCTGGAACGGGAATGTGGCTGGGAATCCCTTGTAATGAGAGAACCACTTATAAAAATAAAATCACTATATTGAGAGAATCGATTATTATGACAGAATCGCTTATAATGAGAGAATCGCTTATAATGAGATAATCGCTTAGAATGAGAGAATCGCTTATGATGAGAGAATCCCTATTAATGAGAGAATCGCCTTTGATGAGAGAATCCCTTATAATGAGAGAATCTTTTATGATGAGAGAATCCCTTATAATGAGAGAATCGCATATGATGAGAGAATCCCTTATAATGAGAGAATCGCATTTGATGAGAGAATCCCTTATAATGAGAGAAAGAAAAAACTTATAAAGAGAAAATCACTATAATTAGAGAATCGATTATGATGAGGAAATCCCTTATAATGAGAGAATCACCAAGCAGGCACTAAAATTAAAAACAAAGGGAGCGGATAAAAGAAGACGTGCAAGTAAAACCCAATGGCGAACATTATTGGTACATCAGGACAACTATGATGATGATGATGAGATTGGTTGTAATGGTTTTTGTAGTCTTTCATTTGTCCATATTATACATAGTGCCACAGGTTAACACACGAAATCATTTCTCGCATGATCTCTTATTTTCCCGTCACCAAGTGAGATGCAATTTTTCGATATTTGAATCCCCACCCTGGCTTTTGCTGGGTGCCCTGAATATAGCTAGGCCCCAACTGTGGCCATAACGTCTTATAGGGGTTTCTGGGACCTCTCCACAGGTGATCCTCATCCACGTGGTGGCACTTTGTGGGTGCTTATCGCTTGTGTGATGTCCTAGTGGTGTACAACAAGCAAGCAAGTCTGATCTCCCTTAGTTTTGCTCAGATCTTTATTAAAAATCTAATTCCTCACATGGTTAGTTGTCTTTCATTTTCTTAGTCAAAGTCTAAGCCTGACACTGAAAGCACAAGGCTGGTATAAAGATTGCCTTAATAATTTGTCATTTGGTCTCTACTTGGATACAAGGGTGTTTCAAATGCCGTAAATTATTTTGTGCGGCACCCCTGTTTAGACCATATAATAAACTTCAGAAACACATACTTCAAACAAACTTATCTTTAATGAAGTTTAAAATTTTAAAAAAAAGAAGTAAATACTAAGATCTTTTTCCACACCTACAGGTGTATTTGTCATTAAGGGCTAAACCTATATTTTATGGACCATCACGCCAACCGCCTTTACTTCCGAAGACCCAGTTAAGATACCCATTTAAGGTTAAGTTAACTTGGAAGCCGTCAGGACTTGTTACCACGACCTGCACCAACAACCTGTAGACACGCAGGCGATCGTCTAGCCACTACACCATAGCAGCTCTCGTATCTGTAATAAAAAAAAGTAAAGTTCTCTTTACCACGCCTTTAGGCGTATTGGGAATATAAGGCTAGAACTATATTTTTATAGACTAATCAGCACTTGGTGGGTGATGTGGTCAGCATCACGCCGGCCGCCTTTACTTTCCAGGACTACACTCAGTACCCACTCAAGGCTTGTCTGTAATGAAGCACTTTAAAATGAAATTTCTGAACAGGGAGAAGATGAGTTCGACCAACTGGCAGCCATTGAGGAAGCACTTGGCCCTGTCCCTAGCAATATGGCAAGTAGGATTAAACACCGACCGCCACTGAGGAAAGATCGAGGACCACCGGGCAGCAAGCCACTAAAGACCATTTTGACTGGAGACGATGTTTTCAAGGATGTACTCAAAATGGTAAGATCAACATCTGGTTATTTGTTATATGAAACCTCTCTGCGGGAAGGTCATAGACATAGTATTAAACGTTGTTGATAACATGGACTAATTACTCTGGCTTTACTGAATCTGAGCCTGGAATTCTGGCTGCAGGACTGGCACAACCTCGTCAAAATGTACTGGGACAATTGTCTTTCAGTTTAGCTAACGTTACACTGATAAATTCACCTGCGTAGTGCGACTGGTATATATTTTCATGATCGTCGTAGGGGTAGAGATCGGGGGAAAGTTGGGACTTCCAGAAAAGCATTAAACATGTGAAAAAGCAACAGAAGCGAACTACTTGAAGTGCGCTGTGGTTGTGAACTGGCTGAGGACACTAGTCGACCAGACGCCCTAGCGGGCGATCTAGACAACTGTCGTGTGGCCATACCACATACCACTGATTCTAGTTATTGTGTTAGACAAGGTTAGTTGCGTATCCTTTACAGGACGTTGCAAAACCAACTCCAGCAGCCTCTGGCTGTTGTGTGGTTTCTTTAGGAACATTTACGTCCAGTAGTTTGCCATTGCTTACCGGACGGTCGGCCTCCTGATACCACTGTCGAAACCAAAGCAAGGCGCATAGCCCGCAGCTAGGATCGAACCCGGCACCCCGGTATTACGAAGCGTTCGCATCGACTTAGCCACAGAGCTGACATTGTGTTAGATAAACTATACGCTGTTTGAGAGTCGCCGTGCCGTAGCGGCTAGTTGCTCTCTAGTGGATCGGAAGGTCGTGGGCTCGCTATCTGGCGGAGCCGTACTTTTTTCAAAAATGACCTTTACTCCCAGGTCGACCCAGCAGTTCCAGGAAGTAAAGGCGGCCGGCGTGATTGCTGACCACATCAGCCATCTTGTGCCGATTGGTCTATAAAAAATAGATCTAGCCTTATATGCCTAAAGGCGTGGAAAGGGGACTTTAGGTTTTTTTAAAATCTTTTTTTTTAAATATGCTGTTTGATTTAGAATGATGTCGGAGGCGAAAATAAGAAGTAGAATTAAGTACGTCCTTCAGCGCAAGTTGAATAACCTTGAAAAACACACGCTCCGACCTTGCCACCTGCCTCTCGACCCCTGACATATATGGACCTTGCGCTATATCTCCAGTTTACAAATGGCGGCAGTAGATTCAGCTTGTGAAAAAAAAAAAAAACTGAAAAAGAAAAAAAAATGGCTGCGGAGGGAGCGTTATGTAAAGGGCAAGATACTTGACGCTAAAAAAAATAAATGCTTTGCGAAGTAATAGCGGCTGGTGTGAAATTCACCACTTCGCCAATCGTGCCTTTATTTTGCTGTTTAAAAAAAAGCAGGGATTTTATGTTCAAAGAAAAAGAAAGGTGCCGGTACTCATAAAAAAATGTCTAAGAAAGGTACGGATACTCACCACAAAATTATATTACAGTAGCATTGCATGCAAGATGCATTTTTAAAAAAGTACCGGTACACTTAAACTCGCAAACCGTAGAACCCAATCCGAAAACCAACTTTCAACCTTCAGATGAGGAAAAGGCTTAACAGACAACCCTTAACATGAATTCGAAAACATCTCCGTCGTAAGGTGTGAATACTATTGACACTTGCCCGGGTGTATTCTGACACAAGGGACCTCATGCACAACTATGCACAAACCAGAAGAGTTTGAGACACATTTTCTCCTTATAATGCTGGTTGCCATTCACCTGCAAGGGCCCTCTTTGTGTGGCTATTTCTCCAACCCTGGGTGTTTTCATAGCAATTGCACCTTTCATGTCTTGTATTCATCTTTGCGAGGTCTGTCTCGTTTTCCGTTAACGGTATCCTCCATCACCGTTCTCTCATGGCCCCATGCCGTTTAACAATACCAAAGTTTCTCAGCTTTCTATCTGTCTTCTTTTACCCCACTAGGACATCACACAAGCGATAAACACCCGATGACAAAATGTGCCACCATGTGGATGAGGATCACCGTGGAGAGGTCCCAGAAACCGCGTTCAACCATTAGACCAGATATATGGCTGGGCTATATTGCGGCCCCTGTCAACAGCCAGAGTAGTGCTTCAAATAACGAAAAATTTCATCCCACAAGGCGATGACAGGATATTCTCAGCTTTCGGGGCAGAAGACTTTTTATAGGCCAATTCTTCTCGAAGCTCAGATTATGAAAGATGTCGTGTTTTCCTTTTTTTTCTTGGTCTATAGTATTCTAAGAAATGTTTTCTGTAGCATTTCAGTTCACAAACTCTGATTTCTCCTTCAGCGCTTGAGTAGGAGTCCGTGACCCACGTCCATTTTACTGATCACAAAAGTACCTATCAAAACCATAAACAGCCGACAAAGCCAACATTTAGCCAAATCAAATGATAAGTCACTAACATCACGTAGGTAAGGCCCTGTGCAATGCTTTGCTCGGGGGACCCATAACGTTGTTATTTAACACAGCTTTGGTCTAAAATAACATCTCGTTGTTCCAGATGTTGGAGCTTCATCCTGATGTCCGACCCACGCCAATGGAGTTGCAAGACCACCAGTGGTTTAGCATTTCACTGTCTGCGCTGGACAGGAAGCAAGCATCGCAGATGACAGCCTCTTCAAATACCAGCTACACTCGGAAATAAACGATGTAACACACAAGAACAAAGGAAACTTGGGGAGAAAGTTGTGACTACTGAAGAAATCAGGAATAATTTGGCAAATATTGACAGATGGATAGGGATATGAAACGTTTATCTTATTCTTCACCTTCTTCATCACCATCACCTTCTTATTATTATTATTATTCGTCTTCTTTTTCTTCCTCTTCTTCTTCTTCTTCTTCTTCTTCTTTTTAAACCCCTAAAAAGGCGGTTGTCACGCTGCGTTGTGGTTTACAGCTAGGCTTTGACATCTGCACTCACGACCCAATCACATCCCTCATGTTTCACCTTTTACGACATGCTTATATAGGTGCAGGATTTCTAGACTTTCTTTCCGAAAATGGGGCTCAAGAACCCACACGAGGAAGTTTATATCTGACGCAAAAGAAAGTGAAACACTGAAAGTCGTAGGCTTATGAAAATAAAGGCCATCAACGTATGGTCAAATGGTGCCTTCACCTCATTCACGGAAACACTCATATCTTAGTGTCTTCTAGCCAATCCCTCATAAAAGGATTTACAAATAGATGGGTCTCGATCTACAAGAACCAACAAAATTACAGAATTCACATTCCTCCAGTTTTCAGCTTTCCTTTTGTTCTTTGTCTCGCCGGTACTGGTTTCTGATAGTTGGTCGATAGTTGGTTCAATACCTATTATTGTTATTTTGCTTACCATTAAAACCAAAACTCTCGTCTCTTAGGTTTGTGTTCTCGGTTCTCTGCTTTATGGCAGTGAGACTTGGTCAGCTTATTCGCACTAGGAGAAACGGCTCAATAGCTTTCACATACGATGCCTAAAAAGAATACTTGGCATTAATAGGCAGGACAAGATCACAAATGCCGAGATTTTGGAAAGAGCAGGCATTACAAGTTTACTCAATGCTACGTTGTACAAAGGCTCAGGTAGCTGGGTCACCTGGAGAATGAAGGATGGCATGAGGACATCCTCTATAGTGTACTAAAGATGGGTGAAAGATGTTGAGGCCGACCTTTACTGCGATAGTAAAATGTGCGCAAGCAAGACATGAATGATACAAGTACTGAGGTGGAGCTCATGGGAACAAAATGCCATAGAACGTGTTGTGTGAAGGGGGCACATCACGAAGGGAATGAGAATGAAGGAAGAAATGGTTGCAGAGAGGATGAGAGCAGAGCGCCTGAGAGGAAACACGCTAAACACAAATCTTAACACAACAATCCTGAAATCCCATGCTGTCACTGTGGAATACTGTTCTTAACGCGGGCGGGTCTTGTTAGTCACACTCGCATTCGGGATGTGAGTCCCATGCCTCCTCATAACGCAGTATGATACTATCGTATTTTATTATTTATCAACAGCAAACACTTTTATTTACATGCATGGTATTTATGTGGGGACAACAACTAATAGGGGTTGGGGGAGGGGAGGGGGGCAGTGCTAACAGTTAGTTGCCCATATACTAGTTAGGATATTCTTTATGGGTTAGGTATTTAAGAGAGTTCTTGCTGCCTTGTTTTCATTACTCGGATGGTATCACCCGGTGCAAATTCTAGAAATCCTGTTCAACCGTAAGGTTATATTAGGGCCCAAAGCGGTTACAAAGTAACATTAAGTCCAGAACAAGAGTATGCTTTAGATAACGACGTTTAACCTCACAACGAGAGATTAACAGCCGGTGACACACACTGCCACTATTTGGATGTGAATACCCATGGCGCGTCCCAGAAATTCCGTTCAACCCTTACATTTTATTTGGGCTCCCGTTGACAATCGGGGTGGGGCTTTAAAACAACAGCAAAATTGCTTCTTACATTTGGAGCCAATATTATGAGTTATGATTTGGGTTATATTCACGGCACTCCGGACACGTCTATAGGTGCTCAGATTCCCACTTCAACATTTACATCAGTGTCCCGCGGTTGATAGTCCCAGTCCTATGTTGGTCGACAAGAATCCTCGTGCATCCGGTGTGCTTCCTGTGCCTGGCTGTGCCGATCTTTGCTCCTAATTCTTGCACTCTTAGTAAAGATGTGGAGGTGCTGCTTCCAAAATCCTCCGAACGTCCTACCTCTTTAAAGGCATTAACAATGCTGGTATGATCCATGAGCCGACCCTCTGTAACTAAGGCAGAGCCGGCAATACTTTCGACTCTTTCATTGCCAATAACACCCCCATACCCAAGTTCAAAGGTGAAGGTAACTTGGACGCAATGTATTATTATTTGTCTGTTAGGTCAAAGTTGTACCGCATATAATGTTCTACGGAATATAAGAAAATCAGACCGGAAAATCATCATACTTAATAGTCATTACCACAGATAAATGCAGTGACTCTAAATGTATATTAATAAATAGAGAGTCTTTGCGGTGTCCATGGCTTAGGCGTTCCGAGTACAACTAGTAATTCCAACGTACCGAGATCGAAACCCAATGCTGGCTGCATGGATTTATATCATGGTATGTGTCGACGCAGATCGACCCAGTCTAAATTGGGTACTAGGATGTATGTCACTGAAAAGTAGAGACAGTCGGTTTAATGCTGACATTACCCATCTAGTGCCGATTAGTCTGTAAAAATATGGGTACTCTTCCTATACGCTTGATGCGCCTAAAGGAGTTAAGAGGGATCTTTACTTAGTGAGTCTTCTCCTCCTCCATCCTCCTTTTTCTGTCTACTAGTCCATGCCATATCGCGTTGGCATCACGCACAGCCTTAGTTATGTGTCATATACAGTGAACCTAAAAACGTTTGAATAATGACCTATTGATTTCAAGGAGTTAAATTGATCAATCGTATAAGACTAATTAATATAAAAAAACCTGTTTAAAACCAAGCAATTAGGAAAAAGAAGCAAATCTTTGAATTTTGTATCACTCCACGCACAGTGAGTTTACTAGTACAGAATGAACTGAAGGGCATCCTTTAAAAAATGCTGCGTTTAGGTTCACACAATAACTCTTCTTCTTCTCTTCCACCATTTACCTCAGCAAGGTGTTGGAAGGCGATGTAAGGTTAATTTGTGCACTTTTTAATGCATTGTACAAGTTGGGGTTCATTTCTGTTAGGTTGCTCCTGATGATGTTGCTACATCTCTTGCATGGTCTTCTCCTTGGTCTGTGTTCATTATATTTCTTTAGCATTCCTCTCTGTGGGAGTTGGTACCAGGGCATTCTGGCTAGGTGGCCAAACCATCTTATTTGTTGTTCTTCAATAAATTGTATCACTGGTTCACACAGTACATACACAAAATTCTCAAGCAATATTATGGTTTGTTTGAAAATTTAAAATATACATATGGCAGTACATAAGTTAAGGATAATTTTATTTCCATGATATTTATGTTGCACACATTGGAATCTAACTTTATGGATAATGAGAATAACTTGTTTTGTTAAACATTTAAACATGTTCTGTTATTTACCATGTCGCTGATAATGCACTTGTCTATTTGTTATCGTATACAAATACAAATGTTGAGAATTTCGGTTCTACTTTTGCGTGATTCAGTGGGTTAGTTTTATGTGTTGCATGCCTTGTTTGTGTGACGACATGCTATGCGGTCAAGCTGGTGATACTAAACAAACAATCTTTTGAGTCCCAATGATGTTAAGTAATAACCTGTAACATAATGAGTAACAATTGGAGTATAGCGGATGAATGTAAAGGAACAGTAGGACACTAACGATAAAAACCCACAATGAGATGACCAGGAAAGAACTGAAGACTACAGAGAAACAGTGCTAGAACCACATACACTAACTGATGAAATGGACAATCTCACTAAGCAGTCTCCAAAATATAAAAGTACCAGAAGTTGATACATTACCCCCAAAAAAATATTCCTAGCAGTATGTAACTAACAACGATCGCTTGAAAGAGGCTAATGAAAGTAGATCCCTATATACAACAATAAGAAAAATACAAACACTGTTCTTTGGCCACATAATGAGAAAAGAGACATTGGAGAACATTGTGACAGCTGGAAAGATCAGTGGAAAAAGGGGTACAGGCAGACCAAGAGAGATGATGCTGGATGAGCTGAAACAATGGCATGGAGAGATATCATCAAGAGAGCTGTTTCAGGCAACCACGGATCGTGATCTGTGGAGACGCATGAAGGCCTACGCTAGTTGGCAGGGCACATGATGATGATGAGCAGCATGTGAAAACAACACCTCATGGCTTCACATAATATTTAATGAAGCAAAGGTGCAACAAACTACTCCCACTGACTGGAAACATGCAATAGTTAGACCATTGTTGAAGAACAATGGAAGCACGCGAGAATGCTGTCAACACCAAGGCAACTCTCTCATGTTAGCAAAATGTGTGTGAAGATAATAGAAACAAGACTGAGACAAGTGACAAAACGAAAGTTGGCAGAACAGATGGAATTTAGGAGAAATGGAAGCTGCACAGATGCAATATTAACTCTTGAACAGCTAATAAAAAAGAACATTGAATTGAACTTATTTGTGGCATTCACAGACCATGAGAAAGCGTTCGACAGAGTCAGTATTAAAGTATTATGGAAAATAATGAGTCGATAGGTAACTTAGATGTGTAGTAGAATAAATGGGGAACATCTAAACTATTTGCAATAACATCTGGAGTGAGGCATCATCATCATCATTATGTGCCGTGCCAGTAAGCGTAGGCTGTCAAGTTTCATCATTTCACACGATCACTAGAATCAATGATCAGGCCAATGTTTTTGTCTCGCCCCATCCATTTAACCAGACCATCCAGGTATTTATTTCTTTGCTTTCTCTTGCTCTCTTTCCAACAATTGTGCCCGTGTTACCAAGTTCTCAAGTCGTATAATATGTCCAAAATATATTGACTGTCTAAGTCTAATTGTTTGCGACTATCATCTGTCTCATTTCATGGTATCCTTTGCATTCTTCTAAAAAACCACATCTCTGCCACGAGTAAATGTGGATGTTAGTCTTGTTTCAGAACTTGAGTGTTGCGAGGAGATCCATTTCACAGATCTGGCT